CTGACACGATCAGAGAAGTTGGCTGAGGCTGAGCGCGAGTATGAAATGGTCAGTGTGTTTAACTTGTTCTTTTTTTTAGTTGGCTATTCGTGGAACTGCCCAGGCAGGTACTTACATTGTGTTTCTCTGGAATACAGCTTAAGGCTGAAGGGGAAGAAACATCGAGAAGATTTGATACGATAGTGAGGCTTATGAACGAAGAGATTGTCCGATTTCAAGAACAGAAGACATCGGATATGGGACTTGCTTTCCATGAATTTGCTAAGGGACAGGCACGGCTATCTAATGGCATAGCAGATGCATGGCGAAGTCTTCTTCCCAAGCTTGAAGCTCACTCTTCATAATAATTTTACAACAATATGAAGACGAACTTCAGCACAATCTGCTCTCGACGTGAGAGCATACATGGAAATTGTTGCATTCAGTTTGCAAAAAAGGGTCTTCGAGAATTGGTTTTGTTGCTGCAGCTTGGTGGTTGTATGAATTTTTAGTTAGATACTTGTGGATCTTGTACAGCACCAAAGAGAAAAAACTGAAAATATCTTTAAATTAATTTCTTTTTGTCTTCCAAATGCTGAATAAACTTGTTTAATCCATTTTATTTTTTTAATCTTCCTCATCCTTCTAAATGATCCCAATTTCCATGTTTTTTTATTTGGATTCTCAGAGTGAGCTGTGTTTCTATACCATTAGCTAAACTTTTGTTTGCAACAATATTAATGCAGTTCTGGTAAATCATCTATGATCCACAGTTCTACCTTAGAATGAGTTAGATTTAAGTTTGCGGGTCTGAGAAAGGATCGGACCAACGTTAGAGGTTGGAAGTTCCATAAGAGATTTGTCTACTAAGCTCTCGCTATGCATAAGGTTTGAGGACCGCTAGAGGTGTACTAAGCTATTGCTATGCCAGGGTCCAAGAAAGGGTCGGATCACAGTCAAAGAGTTCCATGTCAAGAAAAAGTATATAAAACATCTAGTACTAGAGAACTAATATGTTTTTTTTTTTTGTATATTATTTTTGGACTAAATAGTTGATATCACTTGCTTGAGATGGAGCTTAGACTGTCCACCACTGATTTACAAAAAGGCCTTATCCTATCTTCATCAAAATGTTCACAAAATAACCATTTCTAACAAGCAAACAAATAACAAAACTTAAACAACAAAAAAAAGGGAAGACAATTAGCCATGTCTTCCTCCTTAACAACCAAACAATTTTTTCACATAACACATAATTCTCAAGTGCAAATTTGTCCTTCTAGGTCTATTCCTCCTTCAACTTTGTTCATCACCAACAAGAACAACAGCATTAGCAATAGGTTCTTTAACCTCAGTGAGTTTTCAAGTTACCAGAATTTGACTGTTGTGGTGAAAGCAGGTGGAGGCATTTCACCTAATGATCAAGATTATGAAGATGGGGTTTCTTTGGGAACAATGAAATTGCCAAAAGATATTGATCTTGCAAGATTTGAAACTCTACTTTTTCAGGTATTGCTTTTCATTGTGAATTTTCATGTTGAAATGTCTACTAGTCATTTGATTGCAATGACGACATACCAAGTGTAGTCTCACAAGTGGGATATGGGGAGTTAGAGAAGTTGTTTCCGACAGACCCTTGGTTCAAGAAAATAACACGAGTGAAGAAACCAAGACAAAATACTAGAAAAGGAACAGTTAACTACAATAAAATAATATTATAAACGAATTACAAGGGACAATAGATAGTTACAAAAATCAAAGGAACAAGAAGTTATAAAAATAATTTAATTGTAATAATTATTTTTAATCCATTTAATTAGAAGTGGTAAGAATTAAGAGTATGCTAGTTCTTGAATCTCTAGTGGCTCTTCTCTTTGAAACCAATTATTAAGAGAAGTGAACTGTTGTATTTATTTGTTAGTATAGAAAACCTCTGGTTCTTCCGTCTTTGACTAGAGGTCTCATGTTCGAACCTTGATAGGAATCCCCAAATCTGAATTAGCTAAGGCTCCGAAAATTGGAACTTCTATATGAGGTAGGAGCTAGGGAGTATCCTCTTGTTTTTTGGAGACAAACTGGATGAGGCTCCGTAAAGAGTCTTCAACAACCACTTAAGGACTAGAGGCTATGACGTATAAAGCTGGAATATATATACTAATGAGAGATGCTTTGGTCACATTTTGATTCATTTAGCAGCAAGCTTTATAATGAAAGGACTAGTTTACAGCTAACACATTTGTTCTCTTAGAGAATCTCATTTCTGCATACATCACCTCGAGACCAAGAACAGAACGATGGAGAATAGAAAAGAAGTCATAACAAAGTTCCATATTCGTATTCGTGGACTTAGTGCATTTGCAGATGACATTTGTTCATGTTTGGACTATGTGTTTATTCTGGTGCATCATTTAACATGCAAATTCTCTGTCCTAGTGTTAACATAGAAAAGAAAGACGTCGTTTCTACTAGTATCTTTGTCTATAAGCTGGAATAGTGAGTATTCATATAGCCAACTCCAACTTATTTGGGATTGAGGCATAGTTGTTGTCGTTTAATGCTTACAACCTTAGTATGTTAATGTTAAAGATGTTTTGTTTTGTGACTTGCAGTGGGCTAACAGCCTTTGTCAAGGAGCTATGCTGCCACTACCCATGCCTCTAAAGGTAATTCGTCCTCATTTCTAAGCTCGATATACTGTTTCCATTCAAGCAATTCAGTCAGTAGGAGAGTCATATCATTGAACATCGGATTATATACAACCTCGTGAACATTATAACCAATCAATCGAGAGTCAAAATATAAAGAAGTAAACATCAATTGTCCTTATAACAAAAAAATAGGCAGATTCTGCTTTCTTTTTCCTGTCTTTTGACTTATGCAAACGAAACTACTATCCGTCTCAGCATAGTCATTCTTATGGAAAATGCATACATTGTTCGTGTTGTATACACAATGTTCATCAAGATGAGATTTAAAAGTTGAACTTTTCGTATACAGGTTGATAAAATTCCTCGCGGAGCCAGAGTTTGTTTCATTTCAGTTGATGATGCTCAAACTGAAGTTCTTGCATATATAGACTGTTTGGTTTTCCCTGCAACTGAGACCTCACCTCCAATATTTCGAGCCATACGAAATGGACCCTCGAGAGATAAGGCGCCTCCCGGGGAGCCAAGAATCATGAGAAGCCTCTTAGGTGCCCTTCAGAAGTCTGTTGAGATAGCTAGTGTTTGAAAGTTGGAACAATTTTTGTATATTCACAAAAAGTTGTTTCTTTCAACACTCTTTTATGTATAAAAACATTTCACATCTTCAAATGCAATGAAACTTCATTGGAAGTGTAAATGAAATTTAGAGTATCATATAGTTTTCAATGAAGAATCTCGAGTGTCATACATAGACAATGCATGAAGTTAACTTGAAGAGTGGCTAAAAAAATATGAGTATGGAGACTCTTTCATTTTTTGCGCCTGGTGTGTGGCACACACATTGGACATTGATAATGTGGATATACGTTGCGTAAGATCCATTAAATGGGGAAGCGCTCCCTAAATCCAAGAATTTGTGAAGATGGGTACACCATTGCTTTCAAGATACGGTACCATGAGTGTCATCAGATAATATTAGATATATTTTAAGAATTATACAAATAATATAATGAACATAGTTGGATGACCACGTGTTCGAGTGACCTATTTTTAATACAAAAATTCGGCAATTCGCCACTGTCCCTACTAGAATTTTTTCATACCGAGAGCTCAAATCTAAGACCTTAGTATAGAGGGATCATATTCCTACTTTTTTTAATTAGTATTTTAACTAAATTATTTATAGATATTTTTAGGATAATATTTTTTTAGTTACATATTGAACACAAAAATACAAGTAAGATACTCACTTATTTTCCTACAAAACATTTTTCAACGTAAAATTTTTTGAAAATATTTTTCTTCCATCGTATCAAAGTTCATTTTAAATTTGTATAAAAGTAGAATGTACCAAACTTATAGAATCGCCAAAAATGCAAAAACAATGTCTTAAATGTTATTAATTACACTTGTCATAGATAATTAACTATAAATATTTTTTAGACGAATTTTTAATATTATACGTAATGCTTTATACGAGTCATGATAATGTGTAGAGGTTAAATTCAACCCCTTCCAGACAACTCTATAAGCTGCTTAGTATTTGACTCTTTTTTTTTAAATTAGAAATAACGTAATTTAACATTTTTTCCTCTATCCTTGATGAAATGAAGTTTATTTTAGACTATAAATTTCAAAACTTTCATTTTCTTTCTCAACTTTTATGTTAAGTCTAACAATTTTAAATAAATTAAAATGAAAAAAATAGTTAATTGGGATACAATAATAACAACCAATCTCAAATAAGTTAAATTCAACTATATGAAACTTTACCTTTTATTTTTTTATTTTCCACTAAGTGTCCGACAGCTACGTTAGAGCCCAAAAATATCACACATTGAAAGTAAAGTGCTATCTAATAAGCTCAAAATTCAAATCACAAGTTTCAAGGTTCGTTTAGGGGGGCAATGCTCCCATTAAAATTTTTTACTCCTTTCTGTTCAACAATAGTTGTCCATTATTGACTTGATATACTTTTTACGAAACTATAAATAGAAGAATAATTTTACTATATAACCCTTTGAATATATTAATAAATACAATGTCTTGAAAAATGTAATAGGAAAATGACTATAATTATTGATAAGGGTAAATTAGGAACTAAGTGTAAAATTATTCATTAATTTCATAAAGTGGACAAATATTGTTGAACATGCCAAAATAGTATAGTAGACAACTATTGTTATCTTTGATCAAGGATGAAAAAATCTCGATTATTCAACCATAACTCATATTGTTAAAAATTTATGTTATGATAATTTATGTCATTATCATACTAAAAATGAGTTTATGTGCCCAATCTTAAGAAAGTAACTGCCTAAAACAAACTTTAGCATCATCCTCTTATAAAAAAAACTTTGATTCTCAGTATAATCCTCCCAAAAAAAAAACAAAAAACCCATCTTCTAATCTTTTCTTTTTGCTCTTATTCACTATTCTTTAATTTTGTTTCTCAAAAGGGTGAAGATGGGTTCTATCTTTTTTTGCTTTCATCCATTAATACATACTTCTAAGCTTGATTCCTCAAAGACCCATGTTTTTTTTAGCTCCTCTTTGAGTTCAACTCTAAAGAACCAATCTTCATTGAAATACACATCAAGAACTCAGTTTGTTTGTTCTTCTACCTCCAAGGATGGCTCTGAATCTTCTGGTGATAATAATACAAGGTTGGGTTTTCAAAATTTCTTGTTGGTTCACAAGTTTTTTGAATTTGGTATTTTTGGTGATGATTGAGTAGTTTTTAGTTTGTTGAGTTTGATAAAGGTGAATTCTTTGGTCTTTCAAGATTTGGAAATTGGAAATTTTGTCTGTTGGATTCTAAGGTAGAATAATCCTTATTTTACAGTTTGATATATGGAAGAAATATTGATATTGAACTGTATATATGTTGATAAGGTTTGTAACTTTAGAACAAGGGGTAAGGTGTGTGTACACTCTAAGCTACCCAGACAACCACTTTGTGGGATTACACGGAATATGTCGTTGTTGAGTTTGGTAAAGGTGAATCTTTGGTCTCACAAGCTTTATAAATTGGAATTTTTTGTCTTTTGGATTTTAATGTTGAATAATACTCATTTGACAGTTTGATATTACCATGTATATGGATGAAATATTGATATTAGAACTGTATGTATGTTGATAAAGTTTGTAACTTTAGAACAACCTCTGAGGTATAGGTAAGGTTTGTGTACACTCTACACTCCCCTGACGACCACTTTGTGGGATTACACGGGGTAGGTTGTTGTTGTGTTTGGTAAAGGTGAATTCTTTGGTCTCCCATGATTTAGAAATTGGAAATTTTGTTTGTTGGATTGTAAGGTAGATTAATCCTCATTTGACATTATAATATTACCATATATATGGAAGAAATATTGGTATTGAAACTGTGTCTGTGTTGATAAAGTTTGTAAAACTTTAGCATTTGGTTAACATCCTTTTTGGTTCTTATTGGAGAGTTAGTTTCTTTTTACCTTTTCCGACAGGCGGAGCTAGGATTTGAACTTTACGTGCTCTTTCTGTTTTCACACACTATTTTTTAATTTCTTTCTCGAAAGGGTGAAGAGGGGTTCTATCTCCTGACAATTATGTCCAATCGTCTGGAGATCATATCCAAGGTTTGGTTTCCAAAATTCTTGTTGACTCTCCAATTTTTTTCCTTTATGTTGAATTTGGTTTGGTGCTGATTTTCCCTTAATGAGTATATTTGGTGTGAGATATTGAGTAAGTTTTAGTTTGTTGAGTTTGGCAAAGGGAAATTCTTTGAGTTATCAAATTTCTTGTTGATTCTCCAATTTTTTCCCTTTATTTTAATTTGGTATTTGGTGTTGTTAGGTGATCGCACCTTGTTGTTGTTGTTGTTACGGACCTTACGGTTCCTTGCATATATGCGCCGCATTACTTTGCTATTAGTTGTCATGTTTCTTCCCACTACCTTTTTTTTCCGTTTTGTTAATGCTTTGATTTGCTTGAGCCGAGGGTCTTTCAGAAACAAGCTCTCTACCTCAAAGAGGTAGTGGCAAGGACTGTGTACACTCTACCCTTCCCAGACCCCACTTTGTGGGATTTCACTGGGCATGTTGTTGTTGTTGTTGGTATTTGGTGCTGATTTTTGCTTGATGCTTATGTTTGGTGTGAGATATTGGGTAATATTTAGTTTGTTGAGTTTGGTAAAGATTAATTCTTTGGTCTTCTCTCTTGGAGGCTTTAGCTTTAGAAATTGGAAATTTGTGTTGTTCGATTTTAAGGTAGAATAATCCTAATTTGAAAAGTTTGGTATGTCCATGTGTATGGGCTATGGCTGAAGATTTGATATTGGAACTGTATATATATTAAAAGTTTGTAACTTTTATGTATTTTGAAGCTCTTTTAGGGGCTGTCTGTTTTTATTGTACTATTATGTATCTTCATTGATAAAATGTTACCGTATCGAAAACAAAGTTTGTAAGTTTAGTATCTCTACTTTTTCATGATTCTGCTTGAAGTTCTGAATTCTGATAGTTAAGATAGGTGAGCAAAAAAGATCAATATGAAGTATTTTGCTACATATGGCTTTTCTAGAATGATGTTTTTGGACTCATAACTCGGGTGTATGTGAATTCTGTAAAGCATAGTCGTCTCAAGTTGGGGTAAAGGAGGAGGGTTGAAGGCCAGGAAAGATTAGTTTCTAACTATGGTGTTGAATTCTCGAAATACTGAAGACTAATTTGGATGTTGGACCCTAATTGAGCGGAATGGATATATATGATTCATGTACCTAACACCAACCAGTTTAAGATTACAGAGTGGTTAAATATATTTTACATGTATTGCTGTTTTTTGACTCATAATCTATAAGAAGCTTACTAATGTTGGTCCATGTTTGTTACAGTAATTTCTGCATCATTGAAGGACCGGAGACCGTACAAGATTTTGGTCAGATGCAGTTTCAAGAAATCCAAGATAACATAAGGAGCAGGCGCAATAAAATCTTCCTCCTCATGGAAGAAGTGAGTTTTCTCAAGTTCAATTGTACTAGAATAAAACTGGAAGGAATAACTTATTGTTTCCTAAAAGTTGTACTCTCAAAAATAGCTTCATAAATTTCGGATTAATTTTCAGGTACGTAGGCTAAGAATACAACAAAGGTTAAAGAACTCTAACACTAGAGGTGAGACTGGTGAAGATGAAAATGAGATGCCAGATATCCCATCAACGATACCGTTTCTTCCTAACATGGTAATTTGCCGAGTCCTCTAGTAAACAACTGAAGTATACTAGGGATTCAATTGTTTAGGAGGTTTTATACATCCTGTTAAAAAAAAAATCTCTGTTTCGGGAAAGTCATCTGCTCATGTTTTGGTTTTGTCAAAGTATGCTACTTGACAAACATAGAGGATCGGGGATTCAAAGTCTATGAGTTCCTACAACGACCTCAAGTTAATATACAATACATGTAAAGCTTGGCAAGCTTCGTCACCGCTGCAACATTTTTGAGTTGAGATATCTGGAAGCTTGTCTAACTGACCTATATATATGAAACTGACATATTCTGTTTTGTTTGTCGATCAGCATTTTGTGACACTTATCCTTTACTTGGTGCATTTTTTGTTTGTATCAGACTCCAAAGACACTGAAGCAGCTTTATCTAACAAGCTTTTCATTTATAGCTGGGATTATGGTCTTCGGTGGATTACTTGCCCCAATAGTAAGCTCATGAACTCAGTTATTTCCTTATTCTTATTCTGGTTCTGAATTATGCATAACGGTACCATGGAGTTATTTATTTGCATATTCTTGAATGATGAAGCCTTTGGACTACTGTAACTCTTTGACATTGCAGCTTGAGCTGAAATTAGGTTTAGGAGGCACCTCATACGAAGATTTCATACGGAACATGCATTTGCCTATGCAATTGAGGTATGTATACTCTAACCTGAACTACATTTTCAGGTGTAGAAAAGGTCGGTGAATTATTCCTTACAAACATCGTTAAATTGTGCACATTTGCTCACTGCATTGTTCTTTACCTTCCAAAAAAAGGAGCATCACAAAATAGAAACAAAAGACCACTTACATTGTTGTGACTTTGGGAATCGACTTCTTTTTCTCTTCTTCTCAGCCAGGTCGACCCCATAGTGGCATCTTTTTCAGGTGGGGCAGTGGGAGTCATCTCAGCCCTCATGCTAATAGAAGCTAACAATGTAGTCCAACAAGAGAAGAAAAAGTGCAAATATTGCTATGGAAGTGGTATGTCCATGTGAAACTTATTACATATCATTGCACAATGTCTACACTATTGAACTCTCGAGTAATAATCGATATCTTTTTTGATTATTTGAGTTCATGGTACTAGATTAATCGTCAAACGTGACCATAATCTCATTTCATGGTCATTTGATTTGGTGTAGGGTACTTGGCATGTGCACGCTGTTCAGCAAGCGGTAAATGCCTTTATACTGAACCGATTTCAGTGAATGGTTCTTATCAATCGTTGCGTGCACCAACTCTTAAAAGATGTGCAAATTGCTCTGGGACTGGAAAGGTATGAAACATGATCATCTCCTAACTTCATGCACTTAACAGTCATTTTATATCAGTCCAAAAGGAGTAAATATTCTGTTACATCATAAACTTATTCTTCATATCATCCAAGCTTACTCTACAAGAAAAAACAATGTTTGTGTTGTCGCAATCTGTCCAATATTCGAGCATCACCAAAATGAGGCCTTTCCCTGTAGTTAGAATAAAATCCTCAACAACCACCTTCTATTTATTTATCTTATTATGACCGTGGTGTCCAGGCCAACTTTGGCGCACCTTGCGACTAATTCCACGGGATACCAACCACCTCCCACCATCAACAGATACCAGATAACTCTATCTACTAAGGCTGGGAAGAACCACCTAGTGTTTTTGTCTCTGCTGGGATTCGACTTAAGTTCTCAACCACTTCATTGACCACTAGGCCACACCCTCGGGTGCCTCAACAACCACTTTCATTAAACCCTTTCTTCCTATCCTCGTTAGTTGCTACCTATGAAACGAGTTCCTCCTTCATTCACTAAAGAACAATTGATAGATACATGTCACAATTTCGTTACATATCTTTCCGTAGTAATATTCTGTCACAAATACGCGCATGCATCTCTCATTACATGTTACGACAACTTTCCCTTATCGCATACGTATATATGCTAATGGTTTTTGTTTCATATTATGATTTTTTTGTCTAGGTAATGTGTCCTACATGTTTGTGCACTGGGATGGTGATGGCAAGTGAACATGACCTTCGAATAGATCCATTTGATTAGAACAAATTCTCATTTTGTAACTTATATTCAGACAAAAAATAATTTGTCATTTTGCTTTGTTATAAGCATAGTTATATATAGTATATCCTTGTTAAGGCCAGACCCTTTGGTTATGAAGATGTTAACTCCTCATCTATCTAATAGTATCTAATAGTGACGGAGTTAGAAATTTTGTTAAGCGTACGTGTTCAAGAATTAATATATATGTATGAAAAAGAATTTTCGATCTATATACTTCATATAATTTTTTATATACATAGTATAATTTTTTGACGAAGGGGGTTTGATTGGCCACCTTAGGTATGTGTGGCTACGCCAGTGTTCATCTTTTTATGAGTAACTAATAACAACATGTGTTACACCTTTCAAACATGTTATAGTCGGCTATATGTATTCTTATTTCTTCGTTTAATCTCGACTCATGTCATTGTTATTGTTGCATTTTTTAAGAATTATGATTAGTGCACAAGTTAAAACAATATGTTTAGAATAATTATCAATAAATTATTCAAATTGATGCACATACGACAGTTTGGCCGAGTGGTCTAAGGCGCCAGATTTAGGCTCTGGTCCGAAAGGGCGTGGGTTCAAATCCCACAGCTGTCAATAATTTTTTCCCATTCTTGTTTTAGGTGATTTTTTTTATTTGTCTAAATTTTGATAGACAATATAACTCAATATTTAAATTGATAAGAGATGGTAAATATATCACAAAATTAATCGAGATGTGCACAAATTTATCTGAACACTATAATCATGTTAGGCTAAAAAAAAAGTAAGAGAAAGTAAAAATTGTCTCAAAGCACCACAATCGATTTAACAAATTAATGACATATTTTTATATATATTTAAGAATAATTAACATTAAGATCATATATTTTAACAAGATTATAATACAAAAATGGTACTCTAATATATTATAAATCAAAAGCCTAGTTTATTTCTTAGATTTTATGTTAATTCAAACTATGTTACATAAATTATAATAGAAAAAGTATATTTAACAAATTAAATAGCAAGTTTAGTTTTTTTTTACGTAATAACAAAAAACAAGACAAATTATTCACACTAAATCTTATGCCCATACCTTAATGTTTATTTATAATGACATCAATTCATACAAATTTTTCATGATTGAAAAACGAGAATGTTTATCAATCAATTATAATTTAATAATCAGTACGTATATATACAAAAATATGTGTCGTGTACTCATTAATTTGAAACAAGCTCTGAGTGTGAAAAAATTCTACTTTAAGTTACAAAAGGAAGATGACCAAAACTTAGGTATTGATGATCCATTTGAAATTCGATACTTGTACCCGATCGGAGGAAACTATCAAGGGGTTATTTATTGAGCTTATTACCGATGAGAGTAAAAATAATCGATTAGTATAAAGGAGGATAAAACTTACCAATAAAACAATAAGAGGGGTAGGAATAAACTTTCACCTAAACTAGAGGGGCCACTTATAGTCAAAGCAAAACAATAGGGGTAATTATCGATATTATCAGAAAAAAGCTCATCCCCAAACCCTAATATATAAACAGCGGCAGCCATTTTTGTAAGCTTCCACTGCAAATTAGGGTTTCTTCAAGCTGCTGAGTATCTCTGAACTTTCTCACTACCAAGCTCAGCCGGAACCATGGTACTATTTCTCTTGCTGAAATTTCCATTTCATTACTGAAGATTCGAAGTTATTTGCTGTTTATGTCGATTATATTTAGTTTTATTCGAAAATTTCAATTGAATAGTTGTATGTTGGATGAAATTGTTTGTTTGTAGTCGAAGAGAAAGACCAGAGAGCCTAAGGAAGAGACTGTTACACTTGGACCAGCAACGAGGGAAGGTGAATTGGTGTTCGGTGTTGCACACATTTTTGCATCGTTCAATGATACATTCATTGTGAGTGAGTTATGGTTTTTGAAAATTAGATGTAGAAATGTAGAATTGGCTTTGTGATTTGGATGTTTTACTGAATCTTAGTTTATATATGAATGCAGCACGTTACTGATTTGTCTGGAAGAGAAACTATGGTTCGCATTACTGGTATGCCTTATATTAACAATAGTTTTATACTTTTGAGTGCATCATTAGTGTCCTTGTAGTTGCTGATTAGCTTGTAGTGGTATAAATGTTGCTTTCGATGCGAACATTGGTTATATATGTATAAATGTATATGAGTTTCTTCCAGGATCTAACATCATGTTGTTATTTTCCCAATTTGCTAGGCGTTTATATTTTTTCAGCATAGGTGAATGTTAGTGCTAGAAAATGTGGAATATCTCTAGTGTTTAGGGAACCTTTAATATGTCCTAGACAACAGATTATTAGCATTAGAATGAAATGGTTCTAGGTGGAGAAAATGGGTATAGAGGTTTCTTGTAGAACCCCATCTAGTGTGGAGTTTACTCTTAGTTGTTGATGTAGTGTTGGTATGGAGAAGGCTTTCATCTCAATTTGTTATACATCATGGTTGCAGGTGGAATGAAGGTGAAGGCTGACAGAGATGAGTCTTCTCCATATGCTGCTATGCTTGCAGCTCAGGATGTGTCACAGCGATGCAAGGTAGTGTCTTGTTTGGTTTCTGATAGAGTCTTTTTTCTTTAATTCTACTTAACTGTTATTTAAACTCATCAGATATAAAGTTGGTCTAGTTCAGGTCTTTTATGTACGAACAAAGAAAATGAGGACTTTTTGCCTAGATGGTACTGGCTGATTTACAGAGATTAATATTAGATTTTATTTGTGAAAAAAGTGTCGCTATACTAATTCCACTGGATATTGATGTAATTTTTAGTTATCTTGGATGTTGCATTCCATGTTGGTGCAAGGATTGATGTTTCCTTTCATGCATTGACCAGTAATATAGGTGCCAAATTAGATAGGTCTTCTATTAGTGTAGAGTGTTGCTTTGAAGACAAAATTTAGCAGTTACGAAATTTAAGACCTTTTGGATCTTCTGATGCCTCCCTTCTAGTCGAAGATTTTCTGAATGTGTGCTAAAGCTAATAATTTCTGCTGACTAGACATTCGAAGATCTTATAATGTACATGATGGCCTTTACTCCTATCTCTGTTTCTTGCTAGGATGTAGATTCGTAAGATTGTTTTTGAGTTTCATATGCCTGATGCATCTCACTTTTGCTTAACGATAACAAATTTGTGTGTATAAATGATTGGAATATAAGTCATTCCATTGAACATATTTGTAGAAACCCGTAGATTTTACGTCACCGGTTTGGATATATTAGGCTTTGTTCTAGAAGATTCCATTCTGAAGTGATGTGTGCACCTTCAATTTTCACACTTCTACCACTAACAATTACATAATGGCTGGTAGTGCATGAACTATGGAAAAAATGTTCACTTCAGATTCTATTTAAGCGTCAAGGTTTTTGAATGGCGGTCAGAAGTATTGTAAATGGATTCCATGCTATGTTTATTCAAGACTGAAGCTCTCGGATCCTTCCATCGTTATCCCTTTGGTCTGATTTCACTAGGTCTCATCATCTTTTGTTAATCTTTTAAAATATTATTTATTAACTTTTGATTTACAGGAACTTGGAATTAATGCTCTTCACATTAAGCTCCGAGCTACAGGAGGCAACAAGACCAAGACTCCTGGTCCTGGTGCCCAGTCTGCTCTTAGAGCTTTGGCTCGTTCTGGCATGAAAATTGGACGTATAGGTACAAATATTTGTTGCAATACTAATAAAAAAAAGATAATTGTCTGTTGCATTAGTATTGTATTATGCTCTGTAAATGCTGTTGTATCATTGTTATGTCATTACTTCTAAGTAATTCTTCCTATATATTTTGCAGAGGATGTTACTCCAATTCCTACCGATAGTACTCGCAGAAAGGGTGGTAGAAGGGGAAGGAGGCTGTGAAAACTGTTTCTTTTCTGCAGCATGTTGCAAGTTGGAGGAAATATTGTTGTCAAAAATGCAGCTTTCGATATCTATTTACATTTGATTTCTGAACACTTTGTAGTTGAGCACTTTTGGTTTCGAAACCCACCTTCATTTTGAGTTGGCCAGCTTTTCGAGATAGTGAAGTTCTCTTAAATTTGGTTTATGTAGGCTGATTGTTGGATAAATTTATACTGTTTTGGTTTATCTTACAAGTCTGTTTTGTTTAAAAAGCTTTTATTTCATTAAGTGCTTTTAAAAGATGCATGATTATTCAAAAAGAAACTGAAAGCGTGGTTACTGATATAATGTTATGGAACTTGAATCACAAATTGAATGATTACTTTCGTTTATGCAAGAAATTAAATTTCATTATGGTTATACTTATTAGGAGGAAGTGAATAAATAACTATTTTAAGACTTTATATGAATAGTTGAAATTTTTATTTTAATTCGAGGTTTAAAGTTAGGCTTTGATAAACCGGACTTCAAATTTGTGATATTAGCATTGTAAGAGTCCAACTTTATATACTTCACTAGATATAGGACCCCGTGCCAACACGGGGCCCAATATTTTTTTTTTTATATTTTAATTTATGTTATATTATGAAATTTGAGAAGTTATTGAAAATTTTATATGATTTTAAAAATATTTTAAATTGTTAGCTATTGTGATTTGTAGTACTTTTTTTTTTACATAATTTTGAAAATAATATTTATTA